CTATGCGAGGCAAAGATTGTTTTTATTCAGATCTAGCCATGGACTAAGTTCACGCTTGCTGCTTGAACCAGGAGAGTGTAGTAATTATCTTGTATGCATTATGTACAAAAATGCAAATGTAAACTTAGAGTGATACGTAGCTTTAATCGATATAAATATTATTGACTGCTGAAGTATTATTTGCACTTTTAGAAACATAGAATAAATTTTATTGTCATTTAAATATACAAATTTTTTGTAAGGCCCGATTACAAAATTTGATACTAAATAATAAGTAAATAATTTTAATCTTTCTACTCAAGCATACCCCATGACAAAACTAAGTTTTGTACATATAAGGATGTAAATAAGATAGTTGGGTGTATATCGGTGTTAATAATATAAATAGTGCTCATGACTATTTTATAATTTATTATACTTTTTAAAAACAATTCATTTTATTAGTTATATTATCTTAATACACGTATAAATACCAGTGTCTGAGGCAAATACAAAACCTAAACTGTGATATAATACAATAAAAATAACATTTTATTTTTTTATTCTCAGTATTATGAATTCAAAAATATCACTGTATGGTCTTGGATCTAGGCATATGGCGTGAACTAAGTTTTATCTAGATAAGAAGTTGATTTAGAGGGTTTGAGGATGCAGGTGGAACAGGTGACAAGGAAAGCGATAATCAATGAAGGTCTCTATGTCCGAAAACTTAAACATGGACAGTAAATTGAAGTTTTCGGATCGCTTGAAGGCTTTGTTGAAAACTGAAGCTCGTCAAGATGTCGATCCATATATTTTTAGTGAACCAGAGCCATTTACTACTACAGCAAGAAAAAATGTTACAGTAGTGTCAGCTAAAAATCCTAAAGTAATGCAAAATTGTAGAAATAGTAAAACTAAAGGAAAATGTATGAAACAAAGAATAAGGATAACATCTATACCAGATGGGGAATACAAAGCTGTACAAGATCACGCTGTAGAGTTAGATATTGACAGTAGTGTCGGTGGTGGTGGCATTGGTAGTGGTGATGGTGAAAATATAGATTATAAATTTGCAAAAGCACTTCAGCAAAAACAACATCATCTTGAAAATTTACACAGATTAAGATGTAGAAAGCAAAGGCGGGACCATACTCTATTATATTATCCTAGAGCTGGAGATGAAATATCAGATAGTGATTCCAGTGGAGATGAAATGACAGTTTATCAACGTTATTGGTTTTCTGGAGAAATCAGTCCAACATTAAATCGTTCAGCACGTCTTTCTCAATTACGTTCTCAATTAAGAAGACGATTACTTCAGTTACACGAAAGTGGAACAGACTCTGAAGCCTTATTACGTGATAGAGCTAGATGTTTGTTGGAAGCTGCCTATAAGGATCCTGCATCTACTGCAAGAGCTTTAAGTGGTTCTCCAAGTACAAGTAAAGTGGTAGATGGACCGCTTTTAGTTGGTGGACTTTGTGGAGCTGATGGATGTCAACAAATATCTTTGCCCTGCACTCGTCATTGTTCTCGTCACATTATGTTGAATGGAGATCAACTTTTGTTTGAACATTGCACTGCCAAATTTAGTGATAATACACAATGTTGTATTCCTGTGTTTGATGTTGCACATGAATTACCTCTTTGTCCAGAGCATGCAAGGAAAAGGGATAACTATCATCGTAAAGCTCAAGAGTCTAAACCAAAGAAAGCTCGTAAAAAGCCAGCATCCCCAACAATTTCCAGGCCTAAACCAAAATCGAGGCCAAAGAAACGGAAACGGCCTCCTGCAAATAAACTTGAAAATAAAGGTCCTACCCTGATACACGAGGAGAGTCAATATTTGAATCAAATAAACTCTAGTGAAAATCAGACAAAAACTTTAAACAATTTAAATACTATAGCACAAGGAAGTTCAAATACTTCTAATTTAAATTTAGGACTAGGACTTGGTCTTGGTGGAGCAGGACTTAAAGTAGATCTGGGAGATCATGAAGTGTTTCCTTCTTTAGATCCTGTGGAGCATGATTTTGGCAATGTGCTCAATAATTTACCACCTGATGCTTTTAATGATTTATTCATTGGTAATTACAATATTATTTGTATAGTTCGTTTAACATAAATTTACATTTATTTATCTAATTGTTTATTTTTATTCAATTAACTTTGAATATTCAGAATACTAATTGTTCTAAGTTTTAGATTTAGAAAGGATTTGTTATTTCTCTTTCAGAAGGTAGAAATGGGGAGTATGAACCATCAAGGGAAGAGGAAGAAGAATTGGAGCGAGCATTGGAAGCAGTAGATAAGGATGTGCGAAATTTGGAAAGAATGGGGCAAACACATGGACTTTTAGAGCCTGCCTTGTTGGCTCAACTTATGTCAGATATTGCTTCGTAGCCCCGCCTATTTTAATAATACAATAATTTGGAAAACGAATTCGCGTGTGTTCCTTATAATATAGAAAGAAATACTGTTTGTGTCTGTGCTGCTAAGTGTAAGATTGTGTTACTGACTTTTGTTAGATAACTATACAAATCCAAGATGATGGCAGGGATTGACGTATAAACTGGAAGTTAAAAGAAATAGTAACTACTATTAATTTAGTATAAACTTTATTGGTACAATATCATACCATGATTAGATTCATATAGAAAAAGATCGCATTTCTTGTAAATGCTAAAAATTTCATTCTTGCTAATAATTAATCATAGGTGGATCACAATCTCATCATGTCTTTTATACTATATTTGCAATTTATTTGCAATTTATTTGCAAACTACTTTGAATATGTTCTAAAAATTCAGTTACATTCTTGTAGTTACAATAGTATGGCAATAAATATTTTTTAATAATAGAAAATATAGAGATAATGAAAAGGAAATTAATCTTATAAAACACTTTTCACGTACTTGGATTTTTCAGGGTATATAGACTCATTTTTATTTATTATTGTATTCAATTTCGATATAAATTAACAATTTCATTTATTTCAATATTCTTATTTTCTTTATTTCCAAGTACGCTGATATATTTGCAAAATATATTCATAAATAGTTTGAAAACATATAGTCAAATGATTTTATACAGCTCCTTTAATTTATACATAAATGAAAGAAAAAAATTTTTGTTGATTTTTCTAAGCCAAGAATGAAATAAGATTGCTATGTTTATTGCATGTTTCAATAAGAATATAATGTAATTTTCATTTAAACAGAAATTGAAACTATTTTAACAAGTTATTTTCTATTAAAATAAAAATGACGTTTAATACAATTGCATGAACACATGACTGAACTTAAACAAAATTACATACATGCATAAATAGTCATTCATTATCATCTGCTGTAATAATATATGCAAATAATCATAATAATCTTATTGACACACATAATGATAATCGTCATCATTACCATTACCATTACCATTATCATTACCATTATCATTATCATTTTCATTGTCATTATCATTATCATTATCATTACCATTATCGTTGTCATCATCATTTTTTTCATTTTGTACCATAATCATGTAGGCAAGCGTTCAGTAATAGATAGTTGTAACATATAATTAAAAATTTAAATTAATAAGAAGTGCCGAAATAGTTTCATTTTTGATATCTTCAGTAATTGTAATACATTTAAATTTCTTTTGCAGCCTATAAAAAAAGATGACATGCTGTGCATTGTTTAATTTTCTGAAATAATGATATTTAAAGAAACATTAAGATTAAAAAAATATTAAAGAGGCACAGATTTTGAGAGTAAAACTAGATTGTTCTTATTAACTATATGTACGATTGAATCATTTACTGCCATTTGACATTTAAAATACTGCAACATAGTTATAGTGCTGGTACTAGTATTACGTATGTACACGTGACATTTTAAAATGTGCATATACAACAGATTATCATAATTTTAATACATATCGTAATTAAAGTTAAATAAAAAGAAATACGTTGCATCATTTTATAGATGATAAATGAGTACAAGAAACAAGAAGCACATCTCGTTAAAAGAACACCAAGATTGTATAGGTTTCTGTGAAATCTAGTTTTTATTATCAAAATTTTTGTGCCAAATATAGATGGGGTATTAATTTTTGTACCTTATGCATACGTGTCAGAATGATAGGTTGCAAAGAAGTACATCTTGAATAATGAATGTTTTAGCTAAATGTAAACCATCTCAAATGGACAGTAAATTTGCCACTTGTATATGGAATGCAAAACAATATAATTTACAATTTAACCCATATTGGGATTAAATTAATATTGTTATTATATATAATGGTAGTAAGTAGGTAATTAATTATTTATCTAAGGACAATGCAGAATTTGATTATAAAATAAATGCATTGCTTCAATTGTATCTATATGTGTATCTCCTTGTAAAATATCAGCATTAGTGCGCATTATTAGGCATTATCAATTATAATAAGCATATTTTTTACATTGTCTTATTGTATTCAGTTTATCTACCCCAATCATACATCCTTAACATTTTTTCTTGAATGTATGTGTCTGTGTTAAATAATCAGTATTCCAGCTTAATTGTTTATTAAATCTATGTAAATGTTTTAAGTAAATAATTCTTCACAATGTATAGTTAAACATTTTATCTTCACGTATCTTACTCATATTTTATATTTCTGTACTTATTATCACTTATAATGTAACATTAAGTGCAGAACAGATTCTTCAAAATACAACACTTTGGAGAATCTTTCAAAGAATCATATATAGACACATATATTCAATTATTCGATTATTATTGATCTATATTAATATTAAGTAATTACATAAAAAATAAAATAATCTTTGGACTATGAATAATGATTTAGCTTTGTTCTATTTTTGATTTGAGAAATTTGCCATCTTTGGTTTGTTTAAATTATTCTAAATAATAAAAGTAAAATATCATTTGTGAAATTTTTAATATTTTTGAATTTGTTTCATACATTCCATTACTTATTTCAAAATTTATATTAGATGCAAAACCTGATATTTTTAATTTATAAAACAAAAGAGGTTTATTATTGATATGAATTATCATGAAATTAAATATTTTTAAACTGAGATTTTTTAGTAAAAGTTTAGTCTAACATTGTCCCTATTGATAGTGTATCCATTTGCTTAAGTTTTCGACGTTTAATTTCTCTTTTAAACCATTTCTTTCTTGCTTCTACACGGATAGTTTTGTATCCTCGCGGTGATATATTAATTTCCTTAAGTGGAAAATCTGGAGATAATTTATACTTTGTTTGAAACGGTGGAAGTCTTTGAGTTGTTATAAGTATTTCCTAAAATATTAAACATTTCATATTAATAGTTTAAGTATTTAATACATATGTCAAAGAACATTTGTAAGAACTTATTTACACTTTGCGATGTATCCTTTATACTTTCTCCTTCATACTTTTTTCTCTCAGATAATTGCATTTTATCAACCTCGATTTCTTCAACTGGCATCAACATTATGTTATAATTAGCTCTATTATCTCCAAGAATTCCTATTTTAATTCCTAGTTCATGCAATTTTTCTTCTTCAATAAGTAAAGCGTTTTGTAAATAAAGAATTCGGTCGTCGTCTGTATTATCTCCTACATTCACAGATCATAACATTATTTTCGTTTCTCTTGTAAAGAAATATGTGAAAAATAAATAACACACCTAAAGCTAACAGGCGGTAGTCGCAATTAGAATATATTAACTCTTGTATTAATGGAGAATTTCGTAATAATTTCCTTTTCACCTGTAACTTTCGACCCTGTAATATTTCAATGTCCTCCATCAACATCTTTTGCATAGATTGATTACTGCTTTGTCTTTCTGCCATATTATATGATTTTGTTCTAAACAATCTATGTAATTCAATTTCTAAAATAAATATTTCTCTCTTTAACAGAGCATAATAATTTAATAATTGTTTAATAGCAGTTGTACATAATGTATTTTCTTGTGAAATTTATTTACCAATCAAATTAAAGTGTTTACGTTGTAATGCTATCCAAACAACACGATGTGCTATACAAATTAATGTTTCAAATATCCTTAAATCTTTTTCTCCTTCTGATTGAACTAAAAATGAAGATCCTCTTTTACCACCAGTCATGTGGTGGTACTGAATGTTATCTTGACAACCTACTATTAAATCAGCATATTCTCTACCTAAGACACAACGAAGATTTTGCATTTCTTCTGCATAGCTAGATCTATAACCTCGAGCTAGAGGATTTGGTGCTTTTTTTATAGTAGCTGCATATTCTGCTATTAATTCTTCCCATGTTATCACATAATATTGAAAATAAATTATCAGAGCTCTTAGGAAACGATCAACAATTGGCATATGAAAAAATTTTATAAACTGAGGACTAACAGGACTGATTAACAAAAATATTACAAGATCCTTTATATCTTGTAAGATAATAACATCTGGTTGGTTTGGTAATGTCTTCCTTAAATAATATCTTCTAAATTTTAACTGAAAAGACATATATGTAATTAATAAGAGAACTGGCTAAAGCTTTGTCTAGTTTTCATTATTTACCTTTTCACGCTCACTTAAAGTCTCATTAAAATTTAAAATTAAATATGCATGTGGACAATATACATTTGAATCATGAACAGCACCAAATTTTGTTGTTATTTTTTGAACTTCCTTAGTTTCTGCTCTTTGTGCACTTATTTATAAATATAGACAAGTTAAAATCAACTTTAGTAAGAGTATGGAATAATACTATTATTCGAAAATCTAATTACCTCAATAAAATTAATCCATCTGAAACATCATCCCATGCAAAATATTTATTTTCCATTTTTATCATTGAAATAATTAAGCATTATAAATTTCATGTAGAATATTGGAACCTTTTAAATCAGGTTAACTCATTAAACACTAAAAAGCAAAGCCAATAACTTGATAGTTAGTAGCTAAGTTATTGATTATACACATGTAAATTGAAATATCAAAAAAGTTTCAATGAAATAAATATACTTTCATACATGTTAAATACAATTCAATATATTTATAAAAAATACCCTTAAAAATTCATGGCAGTTTTTTTTTTAATAAATTAACTCTATATATATACATATATATTTCTCTGAATTAGTGTGTGTACAAAGTATACTATTGATAAATAACTTATATTATTCATATACATAATGTTATGATTATTTAATAAATATTATGTAAAATTAAATCTAACAAATTTGTTTTATGCATATCAGAGTTTATTTATGATAATACATTTATTTATTCTGTTGATGAGGTTTTTCTAAGCGAAGGATGTTTTGGAAGGGTATTTAAAACCTCTTGATCTTCTGGGAAAATTGCTATGCTAGGTGTTTGCCAATATGGTACATCATAATAAATAATTTTAAATGGATCAGCAGAATAGTGATGTAGTCTACATCTGACTTTAGTTTCATCAGAATTATTGATTTTAACAACTACATAAAATTCTTTATTCTCAATAGACAAGTTAGGACCAGATATAGCTTTTTCAGGAAGGGTTATTGCATGTTGGGGTACCATGTAACCTGCTAGACGAAAACATGCACTTATATGCCATTTTTCTATGGTCCATGGTTCTTCCATATTCATTTTTACACTTAAATAACATCGAGATAATTCCATTAATGTTTTTTCCACAAATGGAGAAGTGGATGCACGGAATTTTTTCCTGTCAACATCTTCAATAGCATATTTCTTAATATTTTCAGGTGTTGCATACACAGCCAACTTAGGTAATAGAAACTGGTTATAAGCTCTTAAACTTGTTAATGTAATTATTTCACCTTTTTCTCCAACATTTCTTACGTTATCTAATAAAATTAGATCGACTTGTGGATGTTTTTTACAATTTTTATATTCTACAAGTTCATAAATAAAGTATTTATGTTTGAGAACAGGTCGAGTTTGATATTTCTTCATCAATGGTACTGGAAATCTCCTTTTCAAAACAAATGTGTTCTAAAGTAAAGAAAAACGCTGATTTAGAAACATGTTGGGAATGTTTAAACAATTTTATTTGCTATAATGCTTTATATAGTTAATTATAAAATATTACCCGACTTTGCTGCATCATTATATCATTTTGATTACATAGAAGTGTTGCAGTTTGTGGTTTCAGATTATTTATACACAATCTCATACACTTTAACATGTTTATTGACATGTCGAATATAATTATATACAAAATAAACGAATTTAAGAGTGCACTTATTTTAGGTTAGAATACATGCACTCTCCACAGCACTCAAGCACAGCTACTCATTACACCTAATTCTCAGGAATCAATAACCAAATTTTCTCAAATAAATGCTTACTTTTGAAAGTAAGCTGGTTTATCCTGTAACAAAAAGATGAACAACAGTGTGTAAGGTAATTAGTTCAGAAAATTTAAAGTATTTTAAAAGCTTCACTTTCACATACTCTTTAAATTTTATATTTTGGCGCGTTTTTTCTGGAAACATTATCAGTAAGACTACTTACCGGCAAGCAGTAAATTAATAAAATTATGTTTCTTGGAATTATCGGTAAGTTACCGATGGTGTAAAGAAAATCAATGGTTGTCTTACACCTTGTAAACTTAAAAAATCGAATCGATGTTACTTTATCTGTTGTTAATGCGCAAGCTCGAGTTAACGCAAACGGTACTGCAGAATTGTGCAAATCCAAGTTACCACGGGCAGGATTTTATTTCATATTATCGTAATATACGCGCGCATATTAATTTAAGCATAAAAGATAATTATACCAATTTATATACTTGAATTGATTAATATATTTCACTATGTAACTATTATATTTATTGCATACACTTTTTATAGCGCTCATTTATATAAATATAATTACTATTTATACTAAAAGGTACAACCTGCTTTTCAAATTGTAAACACGAAGTAATATACTACATTTCGTTATATTTTTTTCTTATTATGTTCGAATAATGTTTTCCATTATATGAATGCATTGAGTAAGAAAAATGTCAAAAACATCCTCGATTTCCGAGGAGGGGAGTCCGAGATCATTGCTTGATTTCCAAATACATTAAAATGGATGTACCGAAAAACGAGCATTTAGTTGATACGTGTGAAAAAATTTACGGTGACGAGTGTAGAATCTGTTTAAATAGAACCATTGAATTTTGTGAATTATTTAAAAATGGGGACACTATTCCGCGTAAACTTATGGCCGTTGCTTCTGTACAGGTTAGTTTACTAATCTCTTTATGACAATACTCCTTTAAAATCAATTTTCATTAAATTTCATTTTCTTTTCCTTTGTTCGTTATTTAAAAATTAATATTTTCTGTTCTGCACGCTGTTTGAAAGCAATCTTTAGGTTTAATGTTATTTATATTATTAATTAAAAATAATGGAAGCCATTGGAAACGGTAAAAAATAATTTAAAAATTTAGAGGGATACTTTGAATATTTAAAACATATTGTATGTTCGGTATCCCCTACAAATTTGTCAGTTTTGTATTATTGTTTAATAATTAATACAGACTGACGTTTATACTATATTTTTTATAGTAATAACAAGTTTTTATTAAACATTTACTTATTTTAAACAATACATTATTAAAAATATTAATTTAAAATTTCAGTTTAAAAATTATAATATATGTTTATTTTATTAGGTGGCAGAAGGTGATGGTTTACCTCCGGTGATTTGTATACCTTGCAATCAACGATTGGATGCATCTTATGATTTTAAATGTCAGATACAAAATTCAGATGAGAAACTTCGTCAAGTTTTAAAATTAAAATCTTCTGATTCAGTTAATAGTACCAGCATAGTTACAGCAATAATTGCTGATGTGATATCTAATGTAATATCTTCTGAGAAAGAAAACTTGGTTAAACCAGAAACTTGTTCTCCAAATTTTTGTTCTGATAATTTTTGTTTTACAAAGGATGATTCTTTTTGTCTTAGTTCGGAAAAAGATTTAGTATGTCATGAAAAACAATCACAAAGTCAATTAACCAATAAGGATCAAAAGAAAAGCACAGAAAATGTAAATATTTATAAGAGTTTATTAGAAGAAGATTCTATAAAACAAAGTAATTCAGTTGAGCAGCAAGAATTGTCTTTATTGGATGAGCCTGAAGTGCAAAACAAAGATACTGCGATAAAAGTTGTAAATAATGATGAAGTATCTGAAAATCAACAAATGTTAGAAGAAACATTGAAAATAGATAGTACTCAAGACGACGAAGAAAAGCCTTTAATTGTACGTGCTAATAGATTACGTTGTACACAGTGTATTAAGTCTTTTCGTACAAAAGTGGCCTTGCAGAGACATACTATTGTACATAAGCGTAAGACTAAGTTACGGTATGTCTGTTACGTTTGTGATAAACAGTATTCAACACTTGCAAAGGCAAAAAGTCATGTAGCAGTTTGTCGTGAAGCTCATAACAAGAAGGAAAATATTGATGATAAAAGAATCACTTATGAGCAGGAGAAAGAAATTACAGATTTACAAGACAAAAGGTTTAATAATATTCCAGTAAGTATATATGAAAGTGGTAACTTGTAAGGAAGCTTTCATTTTGTTATCCTTTTTATTGCAGTATATAATTTACTATTCAGTTCAACATTAGTTACATTTTTATTTCAGGATAAAAGAACAAAAATTCAGAAAAATGATGATTCTTCTAAGGAACAACGAAAAGGTTTCAAATTTACATGTAAAGTTTGTTCAAAGCAATTTACTTATCAAAAGTCCTTTATAACGCATGCTAAAAGTCATCCAGAGTATAAGTTAGAAGAATATAATTTACAAGAGTTGAATGATTCTTCTCGGTGTTCAACAAAAGAAAAATCTGCAGAAAATATTGAGGAACAAGAAGAAGAAAATGAAGAAGAAGATGAGGAAGAGGACGAGGAAGATGAGAACCTTCCCGCTGAAAGTCTACAATGTACTCAATGTGGAAAACTATTTGCAACAAAGAAAAACCTTAAAAGACACATTTCCACACATAGTGGATTAAAATACACGTGCGAGACCTGCGGTAAAGGATTTTCAAGGATAGACAAATTAAAAGATCATGAGCAATCAAAACATAAGTCTGAAATATTTGAAAATTCTGATTTGTCTGACAGAGAAGATATGGATGACATGAGTAGGGAAGATTGCTTAGAAGAAAGAAAGAAAGTAAGCCACTTAAAGTTATTTTATGAAAACCTAAGTGAAGTTATATTTTTTAAAATAACTTTCATAAAATTTAAAATTATTTCAGGACCGTTACAATAGACCACATAAATGTGCAATCTGTCCTAAATCCTTCGCTCAAGCTCAGTCTTTAGCAAATCACGTGGAACGTCATAAACGCGTGAAAGATACTCAGAAAAGGTTTCTTTGTGAGGTTTGCAGTAAATGTTTTGCTCAAAGTGGTTCTCTTGTTGCCCATATGCGTACACATACTGGAGTTAAGCCATATGTTTGTAATGTGTGTAATAGGGCCTTTACAAAGAGCACTTATTTACAATTGCATCTACGTACACATAGTGGAGAAAAACCATATATTTGTCAATACTGCAGTAGAGCTTTTGCGCGTGCAAATACATTAGCCCGACACATTACGATGCACACAGGAGAAGCGAAGTATCACTGCCAGATTTGTACAAAATCATTTAGAAGACTGACCTCATTGAATGAGCACACTTACACACACACTGGTCAACGACCGTATGCGTGCAAAATTTGTACAAAGAGATATAATAATGCGGGCTCGCTTTATGCACATAGAAAAAAATGCAAAGCGCAACAGTTGTCTAATACTGGATTCGCAGTTTCCGTAGAGAATTCAATACCGCATCAGGATATAAATGTTCCACAAGTTTTGATTTATTCTCAAAGGAAGTTAGTGGAGGATGCAACGGTTGGGCAGGTTACACCAACGCCTCAGTACATGATACCAAATGTACACAATCAAAAAAGTCTGGGATCAAATATTATTCAGCCATTTACGGTGGAAGACCCGAATGTTTATTCAATTAATTCAAAGCAATTTAAGAATCCCTATTATGCAATTTATCCAAATATGTAATATAATGTGCGCAGGAGATGCATTAAACTATGCCGTTTATAGACATTTGTATGCTTGTAATACTGTTAAAAGGCTATAAATATTACGGTAAAAGCGTTATAAATAATTTAAGGTAAGTATCGAAGTAGGTAAATAAATAAAACAGAATGTATAAAATAAGTTAATAAGTTTTGAAACAATCATAGTAATTTATAACAACGGATGAAACATACGTATACTGTTTTGTCAGTAATTAGCTAAAAAAGACATTGTTTTTTAAACAAGAACAAAGTAATTAAGTAATGTAATGAACATTAGACGGGTGAAATTTTTATAAATAGCAATATGTTTTTATACCGAATTCACTTTTTCCTAAACATGTACAATAATGTTGCAATACATACATAAATAATTAATAGCATTAATATGGGAAGTATTTTATGCTTTACACCTTTGTTTTATACCTTTGGTTTTTAATAATTAACGGTATTTACACATATATAATTACAAATCAATAACTTATTCTTCTCTCGAGGAAGAGTTCGTATCGTCATCAGGTGTATCTTTCACTGAACTCTGCCAAGCCTTGTCCAAGTGTTTTAAATTCGGCGAGCTTCTTGTATAAGGTATCATTTCTTCCACTACCATTATATCTTCCACTTTTCCTTTGCGATGCATCCTCATAAATTTCTTCCATCGACTGCCTTTCTTTTTACCAGTTTCCATTGATTTATGTCGCCTAATAATATATTTAGGAGTGGATTTTGACGTCGTTGCTTGTGTAGGAACTGATAAGTTCGTGTCTGACAATTTCAAAGAGCTTGTGTGGTGACAGTGTGATTGACACGTGTCTGAATGAGGAGTATCAGGTAATTGTGAACTTTCAAAATCACTTTGTTTCTCCTCATCTGGAGATTGTTGTAAAGCAAACATTTCTAAAGGCAGTGGATGCACAACGTGTGGTGTGTATTCTCTCCATGGATTTTCCTCGCTAACATATACCGTAGGAGTATCAATGATTTGTCTCGTGGGTTTTGACAAAGTGGATGTGCTCGAGCTAGGCCGCAGAACCATTTTAGGACTTTTTGTTAACATGAAAAACGGTTTCCGCGTGTGATCGATTTGCGACGCCGAATGTCTTCCTAGATTTGAAATTCGCCTCATGGCCTCTGTTACTCTAGATCGGTCTGTCTGATCTACTTGCGTTGGTTCTTGAATATCAAATTGTACAATTGTCTCTGGACATGTTTGATCAGTTTTTGTAGGTGTTTCAGCGCGCTGGCTGATCTGGCTGAAACAAACGAATCTAACTTAATGGGCACATTTTTTGCAAATTTTCATTGTTTGTACTTTATTCAATATTAGGTATTTTTTTAATAAAATTATGTAATACTACAATTACCGTCTTTGGCATAATGGACTTTCATTATGAGTAGCTAAACTTATGGTTGATGTATAGTGAGAAAGTTTCACCTCCTCCTCATCTTCTTCTATAACATCTGGCAAGAACATAGTTTGCTTTTCTTCAGGTACTCTATAAGCACATCAAGATACGTGTAAAATAGTTAAATTTAATTTATGTCGATAGATTTAGCATAGCTACAAATTTCTGTAATATACTAACGTCATATTTGCCACACTACCACGATACGTTTTCTTCTTATAAGCAGCTGCTGCTTCAGTGTACGGCAAAATTAGATTTTCATTGTCAAAGTAAATATCTTTGACCAGCGGCGGACAACGATTCATGAGTGTATCTACTCCAAGATACGACACCTACGAATATGTTTATAATTTTTAAGTTTTCATGAAACATTGTTGAAGCATTAATTACCTTTGTGTGACGATCGATTATCCAGTTGAGTTCAAAGTCTTCATCGTCATCACCAAAAGGATTAATTAACTGTTCTGCCACCTGTTAAAATATAATTTAATCTTATGAATTATGTGTCTGGAAACTTAATTTAATTTGGACTATTATAATAAATTTTTCATTGTTATTTTTTTCACTATAGGCATACCTTCAATAAACCCATAAAGAAGAAGAATTGCAGGATGGTAAAAACAGGAACGTAAATATCAATTTGCAATTGAAATTGTTTCTCTTTGCCATCAATGTATTGTCGCGCTATTAAAGCTACAGCAAAGAAACTGTATGTCGCCAGTGTAACTACTTGCGTGTAAACTAAAGGGATTGATATCCAATCAAAGCTCCATAGCATGCCACATTTCGTACGAAATTCATTGAATTCCTATATCATTAACAAGGAATAATTTCAACTAAGTTTGTTAATCAATTGTAAATAGTTTTTACATAGTATGATACAAACTTCCATGATCAGTTTTAATCCTTGGGGATCAGGAGTTCTATGATTCTGACGTGCTTCTTTCAGCAGATTGATAAACCATGTGCATGGGATCCAATAGGTATTAAATTCTGAACTTGGTACTGCCAGAAATAATTCTAATTCTATAGATGTCATAAAACCTGAAAAATTTTATGAAACTCTTTTAATGCAATACTAATAATTTTACTTAATATAATAGTTCATTTCAGATATAACATCGTTGGAAATTAATGTCTTCAATGGTATGCTGAAAGTATAGAAAACTTCATTAGATAATATTTCTAGCAACTTCAGCTCAATATTAGAAAATAGAAAATAGTTATACCCACTGAGTACAGAGTAAAAATGGGTTCATCTTCGTCAAAGTGAATGTTTAGTTCAAAACTCGTTATTTCATCAGTGATCTTGTTTTGTTAGCTTTTCCTCACATTCTTGCATGCTACAGGTTAAAATTAGGAGGTTCTTGTTAAAAGGAAACTTGCTTTGGTGTTAACAAAATGTGAAATATTTTACCAGAGTCAACTACATGATCCAGTGTCGGAAAACGTTTCTTTACTGCTGAACTGATTGAACGTAAAACCAATATCAAGGAAAGGTTCAAATAACGCATCATGCTTCTTCGAAGCACGCGAGCATACTCGTCGTTCCCCGTAACGTACAATGCGATTAAATGCATCACTCTGAAAAATGATATCGATTATTAAAGATTGTATCAATGAAACTCATGTATAGTAACATATACCATAGGCTTTCTTCACTTAAGAAAAAGTTAAGAGAAGTTTTATTGAATTACATCAAGATTGAAGATGAAGTGAGAGGATTCTTTTCTAGAAATCTATGTTGCAGCTAGTATATGTACATTCAATTATAAAACTTACTTATCAGGCCAAGGTATTGCTTGATACTGTTGCCACCACCTTTGTGCAACATAAGATACGTAGAATCCAAGAACAAAACTTAACGGAATTAAATTGATGAAGTTATCACAGTAAATAACGATTTTCTCAAATTCTCTGAAAAAAAGATCCATTGAAGAATTTGAATGAAGAAAAAATTAAAGAATTGATGCAATAATCAATGATGGGATATATTGAGTTTATCATCATCTATTAAATTTCTCTATTATAATTGATTGTTTAAGCAAGTTCATTTACATCCCATTACTGTTATTAGCATATCTTGAGAATTAAATTGCAAACTTTTTTTGCTTGGGATTTAGCAAGTAACGATAAACGGCTGAAAGTGCAGCGAAGAGAGATAAAAACAGGAAGAGTTCTCTATAGATAAGCTTGTAGAGTGAGCCTCTCCACATAAAAAGTAGCCTGGTAAATCCACCCCTCGTTGAGTTAGCGACTTGGTACTGGTACGAGACCGTCATCCTTCATTCAGTTCTTGTCAGTTTCGTAATGAAAGTAGTTTCCTCGCGAGATCAGAAATTTCTTCCTTTTCATCGTTATTATGTTATCGTCTTTTTAGACCTGGGAAAAAGTGAGTATGAATAAAATTTCTTTCTCTGCAACATTAACTCATCAATGTAGATTTGATTTGTTTGTACAAGATTCCCTAATTGTTTCAAACAATGTTTTCTTACAGAATTTGTATTGTATCTAAATGAATTATGCAGCACATCCATTTATATCAGGCACTAATCAATTCAATTGTATATTTTCTTTAATGAAGAGGTCACTGATTGAAAATCCATGGTGAATATCTGAAAATACATAAGTATAAAGTTAAAACATCAAGTGTATATTTATGGCCATATAAGAACATAATGAAGTTTCAATGTTATCTATTTAGCAAAGTTACTTATTACAAGAAGACAAAATTTGTTCACACTCATAATTTCAATTGGAAGATATGTTTTGAAATGTAAGCTCAAAATGGTACAAAAATGTTATTACAAGAGTAAAAGAAACAAAAGCGAAGGAATTTTGACCTCGTAACGAATACGTAATTGCTGATGAAAAAAAAGTCAGCACCGGGAAGCGTCTGCATGAGTTTTTATAGCATAAATAATGCAGAGTGGTTTTGGGAGACGCGCCAGTATGCAGCGACGTTTGTTAAATATAACTTCGTACGTTGGAATAACTACCGTCTGAGTAAACACACGTTTTATACCAGGTTTCAGAGTGCAACACATTGGCAGTTTTAGACGAACAATAAGTATCTATGGGTCCTTGTTTCTTAAACAGACTACAATATTACTAAGCTCTTGTAGTATCTTCAGTAGTTATTCTGTAAATTTGTCAGACGTTTAGAATGATAGTTTTATTCATTGAGAAAATGTAAATTGGTTGATATACCAGAAATGTATTTACAGTGAATTGAGAAAGTACATATTAGTACACTGTTTTCTTGTAGTTAATTTATTATAGATAACATGCTATGAGAATACCATTATATTCCATGCAGGACATCACAAGGCACTTGGAAGAAATTAGAGACTATAGGTACATCAGTGAAAATGCATCTCCATGATAGTCTCTATTGTAAACATCAATATTTATAGCTCTATGAAGACTCTATGAATCTGAAACATGAAACAGTAAAAAGATCACAAATAGTTTTTCAAGTTCATGGAACTTAAACAAATATGATTAATAAGCTTCACAAACATTAATTTGAGCTTTGTCAACTTTAGAATTACCATGAGACACAATAACTTGCTGGTGGTATAATATACTGTATATGACTATTTATATATTATTAATGTCGGTGGGTAAAGTGTTAATAACACGTGCGTGAGTCGTCATCATTGTGTCTAACAGATCGTCTGATGGCCACGCGTTGCTTTCCGAGGGAGCGGTCTAAAAATATGTTGGAAAGAAGTATGCGACATTGGCCGAACTATGAAACACTTCCGTTCAGGATTTAATGCAATAGTATAGATTAAGTGGACTAAAACCAACTCAAAGCAGTTTCCTCTTCAGTGACAATCTAATTCAAGCATATCTGCAAATAAATATACATGCAACATGACTGTTAACTTGCAGATGAATGAAATGCAAAAGCATGTTTGTAATTAAAAAAAAAAAATCATAATTTTTATAAAAAATTATTTTAGTTAAAACCTTTATGAGTAATTGTTAATGCATGAAAATATTTTTATCTTTCATGCTTCATCTTCAAGCTACTCCACTTTAATTATTTTTTTAATTTATAGCTGAAAAGTATTTCTATTGTATCAGATTGGTGTAGATAGATAGGGACCAAGGTAGGTCTGGCCCCCTCAAAATATGAAGTGGCCCATTCCATGAAACATGAGGGATATAGGGCCTAGAATATCTCATATAAAATAAACTATCTGATATAAATTTTAATATGTCCAATTTCCTAAATTTTCAATTCTTGAACATCTGAGTCTCCAATTCGAAAAGTTAAAAATTCTAATATTTCTAAAAGTCGATTGACCATGTTTTAATATTGCAATAATAAAATTGCGGGACCTGGTATCCTCTCACACAGAAATCCTAGTTACGCCAATGTATTAAACGCATCTCATACGATTACATTTTTCTTTTCAACGAAATATCTTATGGCAACCTAAAAAATACACATGCAATAAATTTATTGTTTTTAAATTAAGATTGAATCATTGCACTTACACTCATTAATCATATTTATTGAACACGTATAATGAACATTCACTGCATCCGTTATACTGATTTACCGACTGCATGTAAGTTCGACTCCGTAACACATAAAGGGTAAAATCTGTGGATCTCTGTAATCCGTTATTGATACATAATTCATAATGTTGCAACTATGCTACAACACATTATTGTATAACTTTTTTAATCGAACAAACGTCACTGACATAAACAATCTTTTATTCTGGTGCAAGCACGGATATGCACTCGAAGATAGTTACTGGTAAACTGCATCTCAAAGAAAATCAGCATCGTCATTGCGAATGTTAACATTGAAGCTGTTCAATTTTCATTCGATGGCAGATGCCCAAATCTAAAAAGGGTCGAATGTCAAGCTCGTGTTGAGTATTGCTAATTTATACCCGTCTTGAGCAGATTAATTGCATTTTGGTTACCTTTGTCCTTTAATTTTCGTGTACCTTAACAATTCAGTCTGTACGTATTATAATATGAAAATTTAACATTCTTTTATATGTTCGCTACATTCATTCTGTTTCGATCTAATAGAAAAAAATTATAGCAATTAAATGACAGTTCTTATACTGCTTCTTTTTACTGTGTTTTATATTGTAAAATAATTTCTTCATAACATTGTACCTGTATAAGTGACGAATATTAATTAAGTTCTAAAAACGTTTAAATTTCCTGTTTCAATTTTAATTCGGACGTTGTCCGATACGCACCACTGATGTCAGTAAATATATTTGATTAAATAAATATGCATTTTGAAATTGACCACAACTTTTGTTTATACTATAGACATAATTAAAATTTTGTCACTTGTATCAATAAATTTGGTACAAATTAATGAAATAGGAATATACATTTAACGTGACATATGTTTATGAAAACTTGTGAGCTTTACAGAGTATTATAGTAATTGTATGACAGCAAACGATATTTGACCGATATTTTTAAGACTATCAATACTTCTGTTAATGTAAAGTGATACACAGTATGTGTCAGTTTAATTTTTGCTTGAAATTATTTAGAATCTAAATATTTAACAAAGTAAGGAACTATGTATAGAAACAGTATTTATTTACATTTTACAGGATACGTATAACATAACCTAAGTTTACTGAGCGGGTTTAATTTTAAATACAATCGCAAGAATGAATAATTCAATATTGATGCAAAAACAAGTAAAAGATAATGCGGAAGATTTACAAAAAGAATTTCTGGACATGAAAAATTGGGAGGAACAAATGAAGCGTAAAGATGAAGAACTGAGGAAAGAAGCAAGTGGCCAGGTAGAAACTGTTTGTTATTCAAGCAATAATTTCAGAATAACAATACTTATCTATTTATAGGCCATCTTACCACCTGTCAGAAGCAAACCTAAAAATAAAGCAAAGAATGCTCCCACAAAACAAAATGGAATTGACTCTAAAACAAAACGAATTAAATCTTATGATTATTCTGCTTGGGATAAATTCGATGTAGTAAGCTTTGATTATTATAACAGAAATAGATATAAGAGCCTAAGGATATAGACATCTAAAGATCAAGCATATTTTTATAGCATGAATTTTGTTATTAATGTTTTATAATGTTTTAAAGGATAAAGCATGTAAAGAGTTAGATAAAGAAGAACAATCAGATGATTCTGAAGATGAAACTGTGTCCAAGGAAGAATTAGAAAAAGCTCACCAAGAAGCCACAAAACATAAAACTGAAGGCAATACTTTTGTACAACAGCAACAATGGACTAAAGCTATTTCATGCTACAGTGAAGCTATAAAAGTTTTTCCATATGATGCTGTGTTTTATGCAAATCGAGGACTTTGTCAGTTAAAGTTAAATAAGTAAGCATAATTCTTTATGTCTGTAAAATAGAGTAGGATGTCTGTAAGAATATGCACTTATTATGTTTATGCAGTTTTTACTCCGCAGAATCAGATTGCTCTGCAGCAATACAGTTGGATGAAACTTATGTAAAAGCATATCATAGGAGAGCAACAGCCAGAATGAATTTGAAACAATACAAAGAAGCTAAACAAGATTTAGAAAAAGTTTTAAAACTGGAACCTTCTAATAAAGAGGCCAAGATACTGCTTGCTAAAACTGAAAAACAAATTAAGGTTTCAGAAGTAAGTACATTTAAATGAATAACATGCTCACTTTAATTATGAATGTTATTAAATAATACTACTTTGTATAGTCACCTGCAGTGGACGAATGTACAAAAAAATTACCAGAAAAATCAATTGAAAAGGAGATTGGTAAAAAGATATGTACCAATACTGTATCAGAAACTCAAGCAGTAAATACTAAAAATATTAAGAATGAACTTTCCAATGACAATGAAACAGATATTAAAAATATTGAAGATAGTACATGTAGTATCTCTGTAGCTGATAAAAAAGATGGTGCAGAAGATGCTGCTATAATAAAGCAAGGAAGGGATTCACGTATTCCTGATTGGTTGCCAGAAAAAGATGATGTTGCTGTAATTGAACCCATTAAAAAGCCACCTCATTTACGTTCAAAAGTAAGATTATATAATGAACATTTATCTAATATATGTGCTAATAATATTAATTATTTACAGAAATCATTAACAAGAATACCAGTTGAAGAAGTAGAATTTGGCACTCTTGAACATAATTATGATAAAGATAAGATAGAACATAATGAAAGTGAACCTGTATTGATTAAGGAAATTAGTACAGATAATAATGTCATAAAAAAGGATAATCCTGTTAAAAGTTCTGAAATTATAGAAAATATACCGCCAGTTCCTAAAACAGCTGTACAATTTATAATGAACTGGAAGACAATTAAATCATCCGAACTTAAATATAAATATTTAAAGGTGAAAATTAAATTTAATTATTAAAATTTGTTAGTGATGGAAGTTAATACAGCTACATGATCAAATTTCAGCAATTATATGGAAACTCGTTACATGAAATATTTCAAGACTCAATGGAATCAGATATTTTTAGTGAAATATTGGAAGTTTTGAAGACAGAATTTATTAAAAGAAAAGAGCAAATTATATTTTCTTATTTAAAAGATCTCAGCCAAGTTAAACGGTTTAGAGCACTTATCATGTTTATTAGTAATAGTGACAAAGAAAGTAAGTATTATTATATTAAATTTAAAAAATTTTTAATTGACTGTAGTAACGTTATATTTTGATATATTTTATATAAATTTTAGATTTAAGGATACTTTTCAAATATTGCAAAGAGGTTGAGAATGTTTTCCAAGAAGAACTTAAAACTGTAGAAGACAGATATGAAATATAAAAATAAAGTTGTGATATTTAATTCCGTTTAAAGTAAAGTAAAAATAAGTCATACAAGATATTTTAAGTTGTATATTTTGTACAAATGTTTTTATTTACATACACCCGAATAAACAGGAAAAAATTATATATATTATGTTACATTTTATTATTTTGTTATGTACAATATGCAAGTATGTTAGACATGACCATTTAGTAAGGTTTGTATTCGTTGATCGTTTTTCATAATTTGTAACTTAGCCTGACATATTTTGTCAAGTTGTGCTTTCATATTATGGTCAATTTCTTTCAACGTTTCCTTCATAGGGTCTATCAGCTCTTGTGTTTTTCTGTAAGTGTATAAATTAACTATACATGTAACACACAATTTGAAATAACTAAAAGTATTCTTACATTTTTTCTACTTTTAACTGTTCATTTACTTGTTGATACTGATTTCTCCACTCCAACAATTCTTTTTGCATAATCTCCACATCTTCCTGCAATGATTATTGTAGGTATAATAACATTATGTTAAATAATATGTAAATAAAATATACCTGAAAATAATCTAATAATTTTCCAAGTGGATTTGTTGCTCTTGTTAAGGATTGTATTGTATTACGAAGTTTATCAATTTCTTTTGTAACTATGTCGCGCTTTGAACTTGTGTCCCATGCCTGAAATAAACTTTTCATGTAATAGGATACATCATAATAAAAGATGAGAAAAGTTATAAATGAAGTGTCCTTACAATATTTGTCTTTTTTGGTATCACATCTACATTTTCATTATTAACTAATTCTTTTTGCGTTTCTAATATTTGAGCAACAAGATGTCCATGTTCTTGTGTTAATTGATCATTAGCTTTATAGATATTACTATTTTCTAAGGAATCGCCACTACCTCCTTTTGTTTCCATTACTACCATATCTTCAGCATCGTCATCGTCTCTGGTATCAGCATTTTCTATAATAACGCTAATATTTCCCATTGGTGTTCTAAAAAAAATTTGGATACATAACGTTGTACATTTTATCAACAAAAATAAATAAAAATTTGACATTTACGATATTTCTTCATTAACAGTTAACTCTGCTTTCCCTCTTATTCTGGGTGCTGCAGGTCTAGCACTAATTGGTCTTGAGCTAGGTGGACGTAAAGAAGTTCTTGGCCTAGAGGCTGCTTCTGAAATACTGAAAATATAAAATTCAAGTAAGTTACCATAAAATATTGTAATTGTCAATTATTGTAAAAAATATTCATAGGACCTAATTACCTAACATCAATGTTTTCTAATTGAGATTTTTGAACCTCTGGTGCCCCTAGTTCAGATTTTATACCATTTTGAAAAGGAGTTTCATTACTTCTTATTTCATTTGTATTGAATTCTACTGGTTTTATATTTTCATCTGCTTTATTGTTCTCTATGTTATTTGTAAATTTAGATTCTGAATGTACAGTGTCTATTGTATTTACTATTTGTTCCTGAGATTTATTGTTTTCATCATGTATTATCTGGTTTGATTTGTTTTCAGACTCTTTCAATTTTTTATTTTCATCTATTTTTTTATCTGAACTTGTTTGAGGAGTTACTGCTTCGGGTGAAGATACAGCAGATATTTTCTGTTTAGATCTAGCAGACGAGGGCTTTCTTCTCTGTGCAGATGAAGGAATTTTATTCTGGGCTGGCTGAAATATATATATTTATATTATATTTAAGTTGTATAACTTAAACCTCAGATGTTAGTTTACCTCAACCCGTGGAACCTCTTTAATTTCAGCATTTTTTTGAGATTCATGGTTTTCATTTGTATGCTTTTCTGTTTCATTTACAGCATTACTTGCACTGGGAACTCTTTTTCTCTGCTCTGAAGATTTTTCCTTATCTGTTGGAATTTTTTTTTGAGAGCTCTCTTTTGATGATTTCTTTTCTTCTTTCCCACCAGATGACTTACTCTTAGATTTACCTTTCACTAAATTTGTCTTATATTGTTCAATAGCTTCCTTGCTACTTATCTAATATGAAAAAATTGTTTAATTTCTTAATGTTCCAGAGTAAATACTTTAATGTTACAGTACCTTTTTATCCAAAGCTTTTCCGATTGCTTGTAGTAACTCATTTGTTTTAGTTGGTTCTTGACCAGAGACTATTTTACTAGCTCTTACAGTTAAATTAATACCTGTAGCTAGCTCTGAAATAATTATTAATATATTTAAATGAAGGAAGGTGTCATATTTTTCACAATACAAGAAATAGAAATCACACTTACTGACAACCTCGATCAATTTTGTTAAATAAGCAACTTTTGCCTCTTTGTTTTTGATGTTCTCAGAGTTTAGTTCCTCTTCTGTGAATAAACCATCCAAAAATCCCGTTTCATTGATGACCTGCGTACAATATAATTCATGTAAAACAGATATTAAACATTAAATATTTGAGATTACAACAAAAAGAGAAACGTCATTAAAATGAATAATTACTGCTGAAACAATATCATGAAGAAATCGAAACGGTGGTTTCTTCAGAAGTTTCTCTGTGAGCGGTGGTCTTTTAAAATACTTCCCAAGCAAATCTTGCGTCTTTTTGATCACTTCAGGCTTCACGTCTTCTGCCATTGTCATTTATAAGCAAAACCTGCCACAATGCACGTTTCTGTCTAATCTTGAACGCTTTGTGTAGCTTTAACTGTTACCTAGCAACTGTTGCATGACCGCCACATACAGTTGATTATAAGGTCAACTTTGATGAATATCTTTTCAATTACATGTCAATATAACCTACACAGTATTTATTAATTATAGAAGTAAAAATTGTTCTACATATCGTATTATAATAGACTCAGCGCATTTTGTTGAACGATTCAAAATTTTCGCCCTTAAATTTCGCGGGTCAATGAAACAGAGACATAACGCCACCTATGCTGCTCCTGGTACCAGGATAGCATAACGCGAGGAGGTGGCACAAAGTAATGAAATTGAATTACGCGCCAAAACCAAGCATGGCTCCACAATCTAAAATGGCGTCAGACCGAATAAAATCATATGCATGATGAAAAATAATTAATTACACATTTTCTGTGTATAATTCTTGCACTTTTAGAATTGAATGTCAAAGTACATGGTTTTATTGATTTTTATAAGCAGTTTCGCTACCATTCTGACTATCAGTAATTAATTATTATGATTGGAAATTTTTTCGACAGTTTTCTAATTTCTCATAACTAATTTATAGATTTTTATGATTGGAGAAGCATAATCTGGTTTTACTTATTCTTACACATATATAAAAATATAAGAATACGTTAATATTTAGATGTATCGATTTTTATTTATATGCCCAGGGCCCAAACAATTTTTAGACGGCCCTGGTATACCTCCTTCGCTTTCCTGTTAGCCTGTTACTTTATTTTTAGTTCGGAATTCAAACCGCTAGATGGCGCTGACCAATTTTTTTTTTTTAATTTTTGTCTAACAGCATTTAAATTGTCAGTATACTTCTGTACACCGAAAGTGCGCCATTTATTATATTAACGATATTTAAAAATATAATAGATCCAAATATATGGTCTTACATTTTTATTTAAATGCTCAAAGCTCAGAATACATCCGTTCAGAATTTCTTCTCATAATAATTTTGTTAAATTTTAACTACACCTTTATAATGCAATACTAAATAGTATCAATCGGTGCAGTGATTGCTAATTTATAAATGTTCAAACTGTACTTACCTCAACGACTCGTTCGTGAATTAATTGATCACCGATGAGGAAACGGATAAAAGCTTTACAACGTTATAAATGCAGAAGGTTCCTTTTTTTATTTAGTTTTACCTTTCTACGCGAAGCGGCTTATTCTACAAAGTGCACACGCGTCGTGTTCTCATATAACATACAACCGGAATCGTTTATAGCTTTACAGCATCCTTCTCTTTATACGGTTTTATCTCTTTATTAGTCTTTCGTTTAATTACCTAGCCCTGTCGTTGTACTTGCTGCGCTTTCATCTCGAATTACGAGGTAATCGCGTTTTATAACGAGTTTGAATCTTAATACGGTGTTTTTGATTTTACTTTTTTGACAGTCCTATGGAAAGTTAGAAAAGAATAATCGCTGAACGGCAAGGTTATATACAGAAACTAAACTACAGTGAATAAATGAAAACTATCATGTCTAGATTACTAGTCATTTCACTTTATTAGAATACGTCAGTTTCTTTGACTTGTTAAAATTAAATATTAATAATAACTACAGAGTAATATGGCATCGTACTGCTCGCAAATCGAAATCGCAGAACCGCTTGCAAAATAATTTCATTACGCGAATCATGTAACTGACATTAAAATCATCCGGAACTCGTAAAATGTCTACATCGGTATCATTACGTATACACTTGTTGATGTCTCGTTCCAAAGACGCGCGCGAAACGGGGATAAAAATAATTTAATTATAAATTACCTTAACGGACTTACGGTATATCCTACAATATTGCAGTCAATAATACGTGTTCGACGATTGATACTAATATTACATACAATTTACGATTGTTTTCCGTGTCGTAGTACAATGATCGCTTTAATTTCACTTTTTTTCTATCATTGAAAATTTTATCAACGCATTGACCGCCACAGTAGACACAGTTACACCTAGTATGGTACACCAGGAATAATAATTAATGTTTTAAACTAATACTTTGATTTGTTATTTCAAATTATTTTAATCTTCTTTCTTATTTAACTGAGTCATAACTTAGATCATTGATATCTACTATGACAGTCCATTTATTAATCTAATTGTAAAGTGGATCCTTGAATAATTTTCTAATAAATTAGTTCTTACATTTACTGTGACTTTGTGCAGGACATTACTTGTAAATTAATAGTCTAATGTCAGACAATTCCAACACGGTCAAAGGCAGATATTGAATTTTTTTAAAGAGAACTCATGCTCATATGAAGGACAATGAAAAACAATAGATCTTGACTTTAAATATTTCACTGATAAGTATATCAGTGGGAGGTCACAGTAAATCAAACAACTTTTCCTTCCAGTGGAAATCAATAAAAAAGTACGGAGTCAGTAAGCGATCAAACTATACAGCCTTCTATATTCTAGCCTCTATTTCTCAGATCCTAAAACAGTTTCATCCTTATCTTTCATAGCTTCTACGGCACATAAATATCCTTGTATGTCAAAGATCCTGTCTTAGTCATAGAAGAATCTAGACAATCATCTTAGCCTCTATCATCGAATCCTTATGTGTGGTGTTTCAAGTTCTAGCAATTATTTCCTTCATATTGTATTCATCTACCACTTAGTTCATTACACCTTTGCCAATAGGAGTACAATAAAATACAGGTGGAATTTCTATAACTCTTTACAAATGTGCTTTCTAAGTACAAGTCAAATTAACCCTTCTGTTATGTTCATACAAACTAACATGAAACAGTAGTTTAATTGTTATGCTGTTTTTTAACTTAAGGTAGAAGTTAACCCTTAACACTCAAATCTTTGCTGCTTAAAACAGTTTAGTTAAAAAATTTGCTGAATTAATTTAAGATTATTATTTCTTCATTATTAATTATTACTATTGTCTTCTTCACTATACACCATATATATAATATTATAAATTCAGTTAAAAAATATTTATTTTAAATTGTTCTATCAAACTGAAGTTGAGTGAGTCACCTTTCAAGTGCAAAGGGTTAACTTAAGTAGTGAAAAATAATGGAAAATAATATGTTAAATTTCTATAATGGTAACACAGCAGAAGGGTTAACTGTCATTGCCTAAAACATTCATGAAATTTGAAAACTGCTACTTTGCAATAATTACAAGAAAGAAATCCCTAAAATTTTCCATCACTCCACGCACAACTTTCTTTTTCCATTCGATTATTTTAAATTTCTTTATTCAGGATGTTTCCACATGGTTGTACCACACCGATGTTGGTCAACTTCGGCCTCTTCGAGGCAGTCTTATCCTCGTCTTTCTTCAACAACTCCTCTATCGAATAAGGATTCCTTTTTCTCTGAGGTTGCACCGGTCTTTCTTCGACCGTTGCTTCTTTGGCCATGCTGCTCTGTTCGTTTCCGGTTTCCGGCATCCGTGGGGACGCGGTGCTCTGTTTCTGACTGGTTGTCGGAGATGGGCTCTGTCGATTTTCGAAGCTTCCGGAGGAACCGGATGTGCTGTGTCTCACGAAGGCGCTACGATCGCTTCCGATTTTTTGACCGAGTTCCAGGATAATTGGCGAATTCTGGAACGGTTTGTAGTGATCCTGCGATTCAGTGTTCTCATCCAGATCGCTTTTGTCCAGGGAATCGTCGCTTCCTGCCATGGAACTGGAGCTGGACTTCAAGTCAACCTGGTTCGTTGATCCGTTTTGTTCTGACAGACGATCCACGTCTAACGATCTGAAAAGATTAATAAGGTAGGTTATTTTGAGGTTATTTTTTAAAGGCGGGAAAGGTGTTTCGATAGACGCTTATGAAACAAGGTTTTGTCTACAGATTCAAATACCATGATGTAGAGAAGAAAACAAAATGGCGGCGAGGCTAAATGTCAGTCCACTTGAAATATGGAAACTATGAAGGTACAAGGAAAATAAGTTAGTGCAGTCATAAAACGATAAATGTATGAATTAAAAAAAGTAAGTAAAAGCAAGTAAAATGTTCAGGTACTTCCTAACAATTTTCTTACTACAAAACCTACCGCATCAACTATAATTAATGTAATCTATTACATAGAGAAAATTGCACGTAATAATTAGAATAGGGTATAATCTACTTTGAACTTGTTTTAGAAATGATTCGTATTGAAAGAATCGAAGAGAAGAAATTTTCTCCCAGGAGTGAATAATGTATGAAAATAAATAAAACTTGTTATTCCGTTAAAGAAATATTAAATACACTCACGTGAAAGCATACATTCCGTGATGCAAGTGTAGAGTTGTTGCTCGATAAAGGGACGAGTACAAACTTGGATTCCACGATGCAGCGCTGGTGTTACCGGAAGTCGTGGAAGTGTGCAATTGTCCCAGATTTCCGGGATAGAACAACTGGTAATCCGTTCGCATCAGTGTATCTGAGGATCGGAAAAGGCGATGCGTTAATTAACGATTTCGAAATTTTGTAATTTTTTTTTTGATTGTGAATTCGTTACTTTGTGGTTTAGTTAATTAGCAATTTTAATTTATAATAATACTTGAAAATTTGTAGTTTTGCAAATTTTAATTTTGTCAATTTTAAATTTGTAAATTTTGCAAATTTATGGCGGCAATTTTGAATTATGTAAATTTCTTAATTCGTTTAATTTTTAATTTCGTGACTTCCATTGTGTACTGTGAATTCTTACATTCAATATACGTCTTATATTTAATAATTTAAATTGAAATTTATATCTTTAATTTATTTTTAACTTATTTATATTTTTTACTGATACATTTAAACTTATTATTTTTATTATTATTATATTTAAACTTATTAAATTATTTAATAATTTAAATAATTAAAGTAAGAAAATATGTTTTACATAACATTGTATTAAACAACCACAAAGTATCAAATTTTACTAGAAATATGAATGAAATATAAATGCAAGCCGAGTGTAAAATAAAACGAATATGAACTGTCTGGCGATAAAATTCCATCGTGAGGCATAAATTTCGTGATACAGTTCTGTAGAAAAAGGGAACAACGTCATAGATAATTTAAGGCATAAACGAGGTAAATTGTGAGGCAAATTTTGAGTTCGAGGGGTTGCGTGTCTGCTTCTGACGAGTCAATCGGCCACAGGGTATTTTGCGGATTCCTTCGCTTTTTTCTTTCTTCTATCCTTCTCGACTTTTTCTTACCGAGCCACCGCCGTTGCATTTCTGCAAGCGTCTCTCGATCCATAGAATCGTAACGACGCGAAAAAACGAAGAAAAATTTTGACTGTGATTCCGAGATACGGACAGATGTTTAGAGGATCATTAACCGGTAATGACGCACTCACGACGCAGCTTTCCTTCGTATAATGACTACCGACTTGAATGCGGATCGATGTTAAACGCGAGTTGTTAGTCTCGAGATCGACACTTCCGAGTGATTAGTGCAAGTTAATCGAACAGGTTCGTGATCGATCTTCCGCAATTATCATCGCGTGTTGGGTTTTCGCTATCTAACAACATTTTTAGTTACGATTGTTTGAATAATTTCACTGCAATTTTGGACAGATTTTATATTTTAAAATTGATTTAAGATTTTATATTTTAAAATTGATTTAAGATTTTATATTTTTAATATAATTATTAAATTTGATTTAGTATGAGGATTACTAATATTAATTTCCATTTTTAGGACAGAAATTCAACGTCCACTTTCAAGATGGAAATTCAACGTTCACTTTCAAGATAAGAATGTAACGTCCACCTTCAAGATTAAAATGCAACGTCCACTTTCAAGATTAAAATGCAACGTCCACCTTCAAGATTAAAATGCAACATCCACCTTCAAGATATAAATGTAAAATTTACCTCCATTGGAGACATTTGGAGAAACTTGCGAGGGATAACTGCTGGATGAACCACTCTCGATGCCTGTGTGGTCGGTGTGAAGTCCTCCACCCCGAAGAATTCTATTCACCGAGGAAACAGACGGTAGACTCTGAGGATCGCAAGCTCCTTGTCGCGCAAGTTGTTCACGGATTTCCCAGGCGAACATCGTTGGTTGTTCTTGCTTCATGCGGAGGATCTTTTTGACAACCGTTGGCGTGGCCACTTGCTGCAAAACCAATTTCAATTCTTACAATTCGAGTCAATCTTTTATTAAAGATAATATACAAAGTATTAATCTAGTAATACTGCTTTTTTTTGTACAAGACTTCACTTGTTTGTTTTATTGTTACATAAAATGAATTAATGAAATGAACTAATAGAATGAACCAATGAAGTGAAATAATAAAATGAACTAATGAAATGAAACAATAAAATGAACTAATGAAATGAAATAATAAAATGAACTAATGAAGTGAAATAATAAAATGAACTAATGAAATGAAACAATAAAATGAACTAATGAAGTGAAGAATAAAATGAACTAATGAAATTGAAAGAATAAAATGAACTAATGAAATTGAAAGAATAAAATGAACTAATGAAATTCATTTAATAACGACATCAAATAAAATTATTATTAGAATACAAATTTTCTTGTGGACAAACATTATGTTAAACTAAAATGGTTATCATTGGTAACTTTTACACTAATTGAACAGTTGTTTAACAAAAAATATTTTCATTTTATTGTTAAAGTTTAACATTGTATATCTAACAAGTAACATTGTATTTGTGATGTAATAATAAATTGTTATTAATATTTGAACTTAATATTATTAATATTATGAATGTTACTAGTTTTAGTTTACTTTATTATTGTTAATATTATTAGTCATTATCAGTATCTATTATGAATATCATTAGTTTTAATCTTCATAATTAAACAATTTCTATATCAACATATGTATTATAACAAGATCTGCAATAAAAGTAAAGTAAGAATACTATTAATCTTAATTTTTACAATGAAACAGTTTCTATATCAATATATGCATTATAATGAGATCTGCAATAACTGTAAAGTATGAATATTACTAACTTTAATCTTCATAATTAAACAATTTCTATATCAACATATGTATTATAACAAGATCTGCAATAAAAGTAAACATATACGTGATCACCTTATAAAGAAACGTTCAAAGTATTGGTGTTAAATAATTACTATATTCCTCCAGACTAAATTTGTCAATTTGAACGACTATACTTAAAGATCTCCAGGGATAATGACGGTCTTAATTGGCCATCAAGCTAAATTTGGCTGCACATAAATTAAAGGAGTAAGCACGTGGAATCAAAGGATACAATGTAGCGAGTTTCGCAACTGATGATCTTGAAAGGGGAGATCAAGGGAAGATCGCAGTCATGTGTATTCGAAACTTCAACGTACATCCTTCTTGATTCTCCCTGAGATATGATGCGATGTTATCGATTCAATATCGTCTTCAGACTTACATCAATTTCAACTCTGCTGCCTTTTTAATTCAAGTTTTATTGTTTTTGATCACTGTAATGAGGGATACTTCTTGAGATATATAGGGAGCCTTGGCAGTTAGGTTTGGGGTTTTTAGGAGGTAAAAAGGGTTTTGAGGTTTTTGGACTTTGGAATGTTGGGATATTGGTATTTTAGAAGTGTGGAATTTGGGAATTTGGGAATTTGGGGATTT